CATTAATTTCCCACACGAAGCATGGCCCACAGAGAGGTTTGTTTGGCCACTCTGCCTCATGTAACCTGATGGTACCTTGAGCCACCTCCCTTGGGATGAGATGGGATTGGCAGCATGACTCCAAGGCTTTTAAAACCCCCCAAAGAGGAGGGTGAACTGTGTAATTTATCAGTAGGTTTCTCATTGTGAACTGTAAAATAAAGAATAAAAAGAGAGGCACACTGTGGTTCTCCTGTTGTGTACGTTGCAGTTCTTGTGTTATAACATCCTTTTTACTCTTGACAGCTAAACCCTTTGTGAAGAGTTCAAAGAGAAACATGTGGGTTTGGTACTTCATGAGGAAAAAAACATAATTGCTTTCCAGAGCACAGCAGCATCTACTTGTCCCATTGGTAACCTGTGGAGGTTGGATTTGCCCGTCCTTGTTCCAATGAAGCCACTGAAATCCTCAGGTAGGCTGCTGGGCTGGACTGGGTTTGACTAAACTGTACAAGGGATGAGCTGTTCTTGCTCCTCACACTTGGATATTGAACTATTTCAGTCTCTCCTTGAAGCAAAACAGGTTATTGTTGTGTTAACTGAAGGTGTTTTTGTCTCCCAGTCCCCTTTCAGCTTGTCCCAAGCACAGAGCCACATTCCTGAGCTCAGGTTTGCAGTCACTGAAATCCAGAGTCCTTGCCAGTAAGTCACAAATAGCTGCATTGGCTGCTACAGCTGGATTCGAGGTGGGTATTTGGGTACCTTGTCAGTAGGTAGGGAGCATTTCTAGAATTAACACCATGGGTTTTCCTGTTCTTGTGCTTTTTTTCTTTTGGGCACGTACAGTAAATCTCATCAGTTACATAGAAACTTCTGTACCTCCAGCAAACATTACCTGGCAGATTGGGATGAGGTGAGTAGTCTTAGCTCTTATTTTTGGGGAGGAGGAATGATGAGCACAGCTGGCCCTGGTAAGCAGCAGGAAAACCAGGATTTTACTTAGGATCTTTGAACCTGTAAAGGCAATTTCATGATATTTTTGGGGCCTGATGTAACTTAATGTGTCAGACTAACAGTATAGAAAAGGAATGAAAAACACTGTGGCTTCTCTCTGCAATACCCTTCTAAAATCGTATCATTGTGGTTTCTCCCTCATGGCCCACGCAGGTATGTTTTCCTGTGGGATAAACCTTTGGAAGCCCTAAACCTATTGCTGTGAATGAGCTGGTCCCCTGTTTGCCTGCCCTTTGTCTACCCATTTATGAAATTAAGATGGATATAAAATAGCACGTAAGTAGAAGAGCAGCATTTTGGTGTGAAGTTACAGGTTAGGATTGAGCTGGGGGGCACAGGGCGTGCTGGACACGCTTGGAGCCCTTTCTACATCTCCCCTCTCTTTCCCATCATGGCTTTTACAGCCTGCCTGAGCACACACCACCGTTGGGAATGGGGGCAGAGAGAAACAGCCCTTTGCTGCCCTCGCTAGTGGAATGACCCTACTCAGGAGGGCACAACGTTGCCCTCCTCCCGCGGGGCTCCCGGCAGCAGAGGCCCC